TGCCACGTGCCGGGGTCTCCCCAGGGCTCCGGGCACGGCACCGGCACCGGCACCGGCGTACGGCACTCGCGCGGCCTGTGAGCGTGTACCCTTCCTGTCCGGGATAATAACCAGTAGTATTAGCTGGGGGAGCGAGCCTCCAAAATACCAGGCTCTGGCCAAACTCTGTTCCCCTTGAAGACATCACAAACATTCCCAGTGATTTCACTGTGGCAAGACTTGGGCCAGTGCCTTTTATTACTCCATCTTCTATGAGGAGTTCGAAATATTTTTTGTCATGCAGTCAAACAGAATAATTGTACCGGCATTTAAATCCGACTGGAAGGCATGGCCAAATTCTTTTCTGGCTCGTTTACCCTTCCTAATGCCAGAATTCATATGGAGGTTTCTATAAAGCCTATACAGTGCTGTGTCAAACACAATCCTTTCCCATACAAGAGATTTTTTCCAGGATATATACTGAAGCAGATGAATTTAAAATTTAGTTTCTGTGAGCAATTGTGCAGGTAAAATGTAACTGCTTAAAACCAGACACAGCAAGTAAGCACGATCAGGAAGAATTTGTGTTTAAGCTTCTGTAAACATCTGGGGCTATGTTCTGGAGGGGGATTTTCTAACTCTGTTTCTTCTCACTAGCGATTTCAAGATAAAGTACAGATTACTCTTCATACGGTTTTCACTCACACCCTGACATGGATGCACAGGCAAAATGCTTGTGCGCCCTAATGGTTAAAGGTGTTTGACAACAATATAATAATGTATTTTGTACAAAAAAAATAAAACTGCAGACCTATAAAGATGTTTCACTTGGTGTCCTCTAACACTAAGCCTGACCATACTTCCTAAAAAGATGATGAAAGGATGCAGAGTAATGGAGATTTGATGGCAGTTCTCCTTCAAAAACCTTAAAGGTATGGTCTGGAACTGGGCTCTAACCCCTCTGTGCTGAGCCAACTGCTGCTTCTGTAAATTCTGCCCCACCAACACATGCAAACAGCTCAACATAATTGGAACAACCTCTTATTAACTGTCTTTTAAAGAAAAGCTGTTAAGCTGTATTCTCTTCAGCCCTAATTACCTTGAAATGACTTTGATGAAAACGAAGTGGTACGTTTTTGTCTGGTGCTGAGATCACTTACAATGGGACACGGAAAACAAAAACTGTGTATCCTGAGGGATAACACAGTTTTTGCCTATAATAATTACAATAGCTTTCATTGGTTTTTATGCTAAGATTCCATGTAAGTAGGACTACTGCTAAATTTTAGTTACTTAATTTTCATTTGTTGCTCTCTTAATTGTTACAGAGTGCTCAGATTTGTAAAGTTGTATCAAGGTGTATAACACAAAAACATGTTCAATATATGCCTTCAATAATTTCTTTGTTGTTTGAAAACTTCCAACTTACAGCAAAGCTGGCATTTTATGGCCTGCAGAGCTATAAATCATTTTTAAAATCATGATGATATTACTCAAAACAGATGTGAAAACATATGTTTGCCACGGCTGTATAAACCGCTTACTTGTCATACTTAATAAATGTTGATACTTTTATTTTAACTACATTCCTTCTTAATAACTTTGAAAATCTTTTCCATGGTAAATATATTTTGCCTTAGTAGAAGTAATGGCAGGTTTTGAAAAACAAAGCTTGTTCTGTATACAGCTTCCATGTATGTTTTTTGCTGAGCAGCCCAGCACAGATCACACTCTTCAGTGACTGTCCACAGCTGACTATGAAAAACATTCAACGTATTTGAGGTGCACCAGAGCCCAAAATAATTATACACAAGAGAATAACAACAGTATCAGGAACAAAGAATCTATGTGGGAGCGAGACAAATCATTGAGGAACAACCGCGCTTGCATGGGGTGACAGGAAGGCCCAGCTCACAGGGGCCGCGGGTTTTCAGCAGCAGAGTACCGACTCTGTCCTACTGGCGCAGTCCATCAAGTATTGGGTGCTTGCATCCTATAGAAGAGATTCCTACAGGAACGGTAATACAGGCCTGCCACACTGCCAAATGCAAAATCAGCTTGGAATTGTTGGATATACAATGTTGGTGCCTTTAAAACGTCAGCATTTGTCCCATTATAAAGTCATCAAAAGCTTTCGGTTCTGGACCCGTGGGATTACTTGAAAATTACATCTTTACTTGACAAAAGGAAGTAATTTCTCATTCTCATATTTTCAGAGAAAATCTTGACCTGTGCAGACCAAGTAGAAAACCAGAAACATTATTCTATCTTTGAAATGATAATTTAAAATGTCTCATGATTTTGAAGCACCTTTTTCTGATGCAGGTGAATCTCTGAACACTAAGTTCATCCTAAAAAAATCCTGTCAGTGCATGCAGAAGTAACACATGTACAAAGACATATTTCCCAGTACATAATTGATTGAAGAAAGATAATACTATGCAAAAATGTAGACCAGGAAATTAATAAACCTATACAACTTTAATCTTAAGGTGAACTATGGTACACAAAATGTTAGCATCAGATCTTTGTGATTTCGTACATGTTACAACGAATGTTCAATGATCGCAGGAGCCTGGGAATAGGGTTCACAGGTGGCGGGGTTGAAATTATTTCCAGGCTGTTGGGGATTTCTCAATTGTCTTTTCTGATTCTTAAACTGTACCTTCCTTCATCCGTCCTGAGTGACAGGACTGCTACCACCAGTAACTACATCATTTGCATCTTCGAACCCCACAGGATATTGAATTGTTTCTCTGAAAAATGACTGAACATGTGGCAAGAAACCATGCACAGTTCCAAAAAAATTTAAATCAACTACACTTTCAGATTTAGATTAAATACTCACCTATGCAATCACTACAGAAAAGTAATATTTTAATCTTAGGAATGAAGGTATGGTTGATAACTGTTTTGGCCTCTGGTGTTGGTCCATAAATGCCAACAGGAGTCAAGAGGGAAATATTTAAGCATGATGATCCAGAAAGAAAATTATCTCAGAATGGCACAAAAGGGCTCTTTTGGGGTTCATGAGGAAAGTGCTTAAATGTCTAGAGAAACGAGGGAATAGAAAACAGCTTCTTCTGCTTTCAAGAGGAGACAGAGTTGAGTATTAAAATACAAAATATAGGAAGGAAGTTTCAGGCTCTTCCTACCTGTAACTGGATCAGTCATAGATGTCTAAGGAATAGAGCTGATCATACAAAATCATGAATCTGCTCAAATAATTTTATATAACTCTGGAACCACAGGGCACACAGAGCCTCCAAATTCTCTTGAGTAACTCACAAAATGGTCTATAACTGCCTTTTTAGTTTCCTCAGAAAATACATTAAACACAGAGAGTGCAATCACTTACGCAGGCCTAAGGTGTATGAGTTTGTCTGATATTTTCAGATAACCTAAAATTACCTCAATCAAAATATAAATCCATTTGTGTTTTCATTTATAATAAAATGCTCATATTTACAGTAGACTTATAAGTACCTTTAGCTTATTTTGTCTCCTCTTTTGGTCACATCCTTCTCTTTCTTTTTCTTCACATCTTCTTCACTCTGAAACCTTAACATCTCCCTCAATATATGCCTTTGCAGTACTTTTCCAGTATTCCCTTACCTTCAGCTTTTATTTCTTCAACTACATCCCATGGTCTTTTTTTTGCAAGCACTCATTTTGTGTGGTGTTTTCTGTACATACTGCCAGAATAAACCTCTCGCCTATTAATATGATTTTTTTTTGTTTGTTTGTTATATTTGCAAGGAAAAAAAATGGCTGCTTCTTCCTCCATGGGCAGCCACAGATGCCACGTGCTCTCTGTCACAACACTCCCCCAGGGCTTACCTGCGTACACCGACGTATTCACTTGCTCCGGTAGCCAACAACCACTGCAGGGAGAACCGAGCAGAGGAGGCACTTCCCTGCCTACAGGACAACCACTACAGGCCAAACATCACTTCTTCCCTTGCTGCCTCTCACTTGTGAGGGAACGTAATATTAGCAGACACCAAAAAATGGCTTATTTCCCTCACCTACGTACCAGCAGTAGAGTAGTCTGCACACACAGCCACTGGAGGCAAAGAAACAATACCATGTGACGAATCAAATATTTGCTAGGAACTTCATAAATAATTGAGTCAAAGACTGGCAAAATATTAGCCCCATACTATATAAACAGAGAGAAGCACAGATCTGATTGTTTACACTTCCTAAGGAGAACGCCATGTAAATTCACTGGATACATTATTCATTGCAATTAGGCACTTAGCTCTCTTAAATTTATAATATTATGCCATTGCATATGCAGAATACTAGAAAAAGGAATAAACCACATAATAAGTGTAATTAAATGCCTGAGATGGAAAACAGTCTGTAATTTTACCTTTCTCCTTTTGTATTTTTTTTAGGCTGGTCCCAGTTTCTTGATCAATGATTTCTCCTTCCCTGCTGTTGGTCAGCATGGCTAAAAAAATCAGAGTGCACAGCTATATAACACTGTCAGTAAAAAATGTCAGAAGAGAGGAAAATATTAAATTATATTTCCTCTTTGTCAATATTTTGGTATTTTAACATTTATTTATACTATATGAGTTCTAAAGCAATTGACCATTTTTATTGTCCATCATCAACCATTTCACTGTCCCAGTTCAGCCCTTAGAGCCAAGTAAAATAAGCAGCAAAAGCAAATTTACTCAAGTTGATTAAGCAAAGATACCAAGATAGAATCCAAATTACTACTGAGATGAATGTGATTTCTTATGAAATGTTCAAATTAACTAATTAGAAAAGTAATTCACAGAAATAATTTTGGGGAAAAATACATTTAAGGATTTAAGTATTAGTAATTATCTATAAAGCAGCAAGCTTAATAAAAAAGACAGATAGATAGTAACCCAAATTGATAGATGACAGTGAAAAAACAATACGCTGTAGTGTCAAAATTCTTTACTTAACACCTGCAAGATCAGTGAGAGGTGTTAAGTTCATGATTTCAGGATGCCTATTTTCTTTGTTCTTATTTGATTAAAACATTTCCTTCTCTGCAATTAACCAGTTACAGAATTTAAAGTTTAACTTGTTAAAAACTTCATCGCCATATTTTAGGGAAA